GAGAATAGGAAAATCTTCCCATGATCCAGTGGATCAGGCTGGATGTTATAGTGTCTACAGACAGTATGCGATGTTGCTTTTCCTCTGAACTTGCAGTGATGGTGAAGGCTATTCTTTGGTGCTTTAACTGGGCAAATTGTGGATGGGGGGGTTCTGGTTTCCCTGTCTGAAATGGGGATGGAATCCGTGGGAAGATTTCAAGCCAGTTTTGCAGACCTGTCCCATGGGTCTGGAGTTACTCTGATTGCCTGCTGAATATCTTCTGATTCATATTTATTTGCTAAGAAAACATTAAGTTCTTGCCACACACGTGGGTTTATGAGGATTTTCAGCCCAAGAGAGCCAGTGCAAATGGGATTCAGCTGACTGTGGTGGCAATTTGTTTGTAAATAAACTTTCTGTGTACCCACTTGTTCTTCTGTAAGTGGGAATACCTTTCTTTTTCCATCCATTGCTCTTACCAGCCCTCTTACTCATCTCTTGTCTGAACAGTCTGTACCACCCTTTCTGCCCCCTCCCTGTAAAGCTCTCTTTGGGCTTCTTTTTGCTCTTTGCCAGGTCTTTCCCAAACCCTTCCCTCCGCTATCTCTTGTGGAGTCCTCGAGGGTCAGGAGATACTGCTGGCTTCGGTGCTGGCACCAGGAGCTGTTTGCAGGGACGATCCAGCATTGCTCAGAATTTATGGGGAATGCAGAGTTGAGCAATACCCGTGATTAGTTGAATTCGTTATTTCTAGAAATGCATTTCTTTGCTTTATCAACAAACGGGTTCATCTGTTGTACATTTGCTTGGTCTCTCAGCTAACCTGCGGATGGGGGAGTGCAGTGTGCACTGCCCGCCCCGTGCTCAGCTCTCGCACCGTCCTCTTTGTCACTGGCACACGATGTGCATGCTAGAGACAGACGTGGTGAATGGAGAGGATAGAGGGAGAACAGGCTCTTCTTTCCTGTCCTCCTGGTTGTCTTCCCAGAGTTACGAAAGCCCCCAGCATGCTGTGCCATGCCCCACCACCCCTCAGCCCACTGGCTGATCTCAGGCTCTGTCTCAGCGCGCACATGAATTTCCACTCTTCATGCTGAACCCTGCCAAAGCAAAATTCCTGAAGCAGAATAAAAAATGTGGAAGACTTTCAAACCCAGAAATTATTGAACTGTCCCTCTTACCAAATGGCAGTCAATACCATGTTCTTTATAAAGTATCTAGTATAATGTTTATTTCAGTAACTACAACTGGAAAGTCTTTCCAATAATTTTAAACTGACAGAGATGTTTTAATGTGCCTCAGATTTTGTGTTGGCATGCCACAGAGTTAAGTGCCATCCATCTTCCAGAGAATTTTAAATTTTAGCCTTGTATAAAAAGGAGAAAAATGGGAAAGAATCCCAAAGGACGTATTGATCCAGTGAACCCCACCACCATTTATGGTCTCACAGACACCTTCTCCTGCATTTTGAAATTGTTTGTCTCCCTCTGTGCAGGGTGAGAGATCCACGCAAACAGCCAAGATTTTTAATTCCTGTACAGAGCTTCAGTTGAGGGCAGGATTGCGAGCAGATCTTCACTGGCGGCCACCCAGCCATGCATTGCCAGGCGGCATTCACTCTCCAGATGCATCCAAGCCTCTGCAACCAAGGATGTAAAAGGTTGAGAAAGCCCGAATATCTTCCAGTTTCTTTTTTTGTCCCAGGGCCATGGGGCCTCTGTCTCTGCCCACCGGCTGCTGTTAGTCCCAAACCCGCCAAGGCAGGCATCCATCCCCACTGAAACATGCCAGCAAGCACTGCCGCGGGGCGTGAGGGAACAGAGCACGTAGCTTTGCTGCCTTGGTTAGCCTCGCTCCAGCTATCCGAGCATTAGTAAGTGGCAGAAGCGGACTCTCAGCATCCTTGTACTTTTTGTTTTTTCTCTGTTTTTCATCTTGGTTTTTTGCTTTATTCCTTCTCCCTGAGCTCAGTGGCACATGAGTACCGAGTGTGTGCATCTCTGCACCAGGCGGAGGGGGAGAAGGGGCAGGGAAGAATGTCTTATAAATCTAGTTCTGCTCTATTAAGATTCATTCTGGTACGACAATGGCTTTTTCTGTTGAAATGCTTTGTGAAAGCCTTGCCTAATGATCTGTTAGCTGGGGAAAGGTTAAGTTCCTGGAAGATTCTGTGTTTGATGAAGAAAAAACAGTGCAATTATCCAGAATTCAAAGTCAGTTTTAGCCAGCTGTTAATAATACTGCTATTCTTCATGTTCTCATTACTCAGAAGTAATGTGCCCATCCCTAGTCATGGCAGTAAAATATTTATAGCATTCTCTTTTGGCCCTGTTTGTGCTTGGGGAGGGCTGGACATCACTCGAGGGCTTCTAAATATGCTTCTTTTTGTGCTTTAGCTACCCGTGACAGTACTCTTCTTATCTAACCACATCTGTCTGCAACAGAGATGTCCAGTTTGAGGCAGTCACCTTAGAAGGGGTCAGATATGCTCTTTAGCCACTAACAGTTGGGCATGTTGTGCAAACTGATCATCAAGGCTCTGCTAGAGTCACCAGAGAGACCGATGCTTCCAGATTCACACCATCCTTAGAGAGCTGCCAAGGATAAAGGAGATAAACAGGCTTGATACCTGATACTCTTGATGGCAAGAGTGCCCATATTAACAAGCTGGTTTGATGCAGAGATAGGTTTATTAGTAGTTTTCTGCTCTTCGCAGCCTCGTTGTGGTCTGCAGGTCGGTTTGCGTGCTGGGAGACCACTGGAAACCTGCAGGAGCAACCCCCAGACATCTGTGTGTTTCTCCTAGCTCTCTCCGCTGATCACTGAGGTTTCCAGCTTGGAAGATAGTGGCAGAACATGAAATACACGTGGCATCTCTGTGTCCAGGCGCATGGAAACAAAAGAAGCGTCATGGGGAAAATATAATTTCACAGTGGCAGGCCCTGCACTGGGATAAACAGACGGCTTGTTTCCTCTGGTGGATGCATGGAAAATCAATTCCCAGTCCTCTGCAAAGGCTCCTAAATATGAATCAAATCCCCTCCTGTAGTATTTGAAAACTGCAACTGTTTTGCACCAGTGAAAATGTTTTATTTCTAGCAGGGGAACTGCAGGTAACACCTTTTTGCTATCTTCATGTTGTCATTTAGGTGTCTGTCTTAATCCTCTTCATAGCGGTCTCATTTCAAGCGCAGCCTTTTGTCTGGAGGTCTGAACTAAATGTGTATTAAGTAACTGTATCTGTCTCTAATTCACTAAATATCCAGAAAAACAGCTAATGTGCCTGAACCAGTGGGATGAAAACATTAGGTTAATCTAATTCAGCTACTTTTCACTCAAACAACCAGTAGCGTTTAGAAGAAGGTTGTGAAAGGGATTAGGAATTTCTTCGTCACATTTTCGCTTTCTTCTCCTTTCCATGACTTTTCTGCGTTCCATTAAACATTAGCTATTCAGTTAGCGTATTTCCTTGACCCTCCTTTAAAAGTTGCTTTGAAAATAAGTTTCTTCTTCTCAGACCTTGGAGCTGGCTCTATATTCACCAAGGCTTTTGGTGACCAGGAAAGTCAACAGAATAAATGCAGGTGTACAGGCTGTGAGCAGCTTATCCTGACCAGAGCGAGCAGCTCCTGGCTGTCACCATCTCGCTCGCACCTCAGTCGGGCAGTGCAGGCACAGGGAGTCTCAGAGCATCGCCCTGGGCTTAGAGCAGCTCCCTGAGCATGCAGTCACCTCCTCTCCATCCCCTTCAGCTCCCTTGGCCATGGTGGTGCACGCTAGCACCTTAGTGCCACAGCGAGTCTGATGTATCTATCCTCTGCTCGTTTGTACCCCTCTGTATTGGAAAGGTGTAAAGACACCCAGAGCAGGCTGCCTAGACCCTGCAGTTGAACAGCAAATTACTGGTAGCTGCTCTCGGTGTGCATATTTCTCACTGTGGTTCTGACTAGACCAGGGTTACCTCACTTTCTAGAGAGAATATCATGTGCAGTCATGTCAAAAGCCTTAAAAACCATCGAAGTATAAGACCTAAATGGCTGCTTTGCTGCCCGCAAGCCTTGCTCTCCTGTCAGTAGATTGCTTCCTGAATCTAGTCTGCCTGCTCTGAAATTCCCCAGCGCCTCCTTCCCCTCATCTGCAAGCAGAGCCCCTGGTCTGCCCTCCCCAGCCCCCTGGAACCTCCCCATCCCCGGTGGCTCCTCACAGTTAAGTGGTTGCATCTCCGAGGCTGCTTCAGGAAGCTCGCGGAGTGTCCTGGGATGCAGATCAACAGGCAGGGACGACTGAAAACACCACAGTTATCTAATTGCTTTCTAACCAAATCTCCTCTCGCTGTCATGTGAATTTGTATCCTGCTAACATTGGCATTTAGCTTCGTCAGGCATTTGATTGTTTTTGAGTTTTTAGGGAAGACTGAAGCAGAAAAAGGTATTTAATACTTTGGCTTTCCCAGTAGTGCCCTGTGCTAATGTCCCTCCCCCCTGAATAGTGGGTCAGCTCTTTCTTTGGTGTCTACTTCTGCTGCTGGCTGGTACCTCACTGCTCATCAAGGCCACAGCGTGGCAGGGTAGTTGCCAGCCGGCGAGCTTTGGGACCGGCAGGTAGGACATGAATCCCACAGTGAGCCAGCACCCCAGGAGGGCCACCCCAGCAGCAGGGCTTTGCCGTGCTGTGCCAGGCAGGGAGCTCTCCTCTCTCCCTGAGCTCAAGAGGTGGCACAAATCTCCTCTCTCTGCGTGCAGAGCAGAGGTTAGCCAGGCGCATGGTGCACGCGTCGGAGGCTCTGCTTGGTTATTGCTGGGGCTTGGTTACGGCACAAGGGGCTGTGGGAGCAGAGAGCAGGAGAGGTGGCCATGAGCTGGCAGCCCTGGGGGGCGTGATTTCCTCCTCTGCTCCTCAGACTCTGCAGCGATCTGCTCTGAAAGAGATGCAAGGCAGGATAAGCACAGGAAAGACTGAGATTTCCTTGCCAAGAGCAGATGAAAAGAGATGTTATAAAGTCACTTGTCTCTGGTAACATGGCCCCTAGCTCTGACACAGTGGTGGAGGGCATCCAAGTTTCATGCTGGAAGGAGATGAGCCCACACCTGGAATCCTATCCCGGTTTCAAAGGTCAGGTGCATTTCTGCGGTTACAGGTGCCGCGGAGATGGCATTTGACCCTCGCTCATCCTACACAGAAGCTAAGGTCTGATGGACAGCAGGATCATTTGAACCTCTCTGGAAGTAGCTTTCATTTGAATTACAAGCTGTTTTTTGTTTTTTCCCAGCCAGGTCTCTAGATAAACTCTATAACTTTGCTGACTGCTCTGGCCTTCACCTGATCTTTGCACTGAATGCTTTGCGCCGAAATCCCAACAACTCCTGGAACAGCTCCAATGCCCTCAGCCTGCTGAAGTACAGCGCCAGCAAGAAGTACAACATTTCCTGGGAGCTGGGTAACGGTGAGTGTGGGAACAGGAGAGCCATAGGAACAGAGCTCACGGTAGCAGAAAGGTGTTCCCTTTTGGAATAAGATCTTTGCAAATCTCAGGATGTTTTGCCAATGTAGGTTCAGAGGGATTTAAAGGTTCCTGCTGTAAGGCAGCACCATCTCTGAGACAGACCTGGCTTGTGTTTGCACCTTATCTGGATGTTTCCATCAGTTGGTATTAAACACATGAAATGCTTCTGCCCTGGCTGCTGGGTACAGACAGTCCTGGGGTGGGAAGACCAGTAGCTGTGTGGACTTGTGTGGTGGCTGCAGTGCCAGGGGAAGCGGGGGACCCGATAGGGTCAGGAGCATGACACCAAGGTGCAGGTCCTTCACCCAGCACACAGCAAAAGGAATGCAGGAGAAGATGCTGGCACAGGAGAGCAAGCGATGGCCCTCATCCATGCCTCCGAGCCTCCTCATGCTGCTCCGCAGAGCAGGCAGGCAGCTCGGCGGAGCTCAAGCTGCGCGACAGCATGTGAGCTGTGTGTCTCTCTCCGGAAGCACGGATTAAGGAGCAGAGCTGGCAAGCCTTGCTTGTCTATTTTTATTTTCCCAGAGCCCAATAACTATCGGACCCTGATCGGCCGCTCGGTGAACGGCAGCCAGCTGGGGAAGGACTACATCCAGCTGAGAAGCCTGCTGCAGCTTATCCGCACTTATTCCAGAGCAAACCTCTATGGGCCAAACATTGGGAGGCCCAGAAAGAATGTCATCGCTCTCCTGGAAGGGTAAGTGATGTTGCTTTGATCAAGAAGAGATCAGAAACCCCTTCTGAGACTGATGCCCTCAGCAGCAGGTAGACTTGCGCTTTGGCTTCCCAATGTCCAAAAGCTGCCAGGACAGCAAGGCTCTGTGCAGCCCAGCCACCGCAGTACCAGGGGCTTGGGGACATGGTCATCTGTGCTGCTAAACTTCTGCAGAGGGCCCTGATGGGATTATGGGCTGGATAGATTAACACTTTCCCAAGTATTCCCAGCATTTTCTAATTATAGGCAGATTGAGGTGCCCACTGTGTTGGGATATGAAGATAACACTGTGGTGTGGGTGCAGGATGCTGCACCCCTCTGGGCTGCAGGGCCAGGAGGTGGGTCCTGGCACCACTTACCAGTGTAGGTGTTGTCTCAGAGTCCTCCTGGACAAATTGGTTTGCTCTTCCTCTTTGGTAGTTTCTTCTCCCTGTGCTTTCTCCATCTGTCCAGAGGAAGAACCTGCCGTGACTTTCTTTGCTGCCCAAGCCCTCTGCTCCCTCCTAGGAGAAATGACATTTCCCTAGTTTGGGGAGGCCAGAGGTGGAGAAGGAATGGTGACAGTGAGGGACGCAGACACCTGGAGGTGACGTTGGACAGCTACAGGAACCAGGGAGGTGTGGGAGCCTGCTGGCAGCAGGAACAGGGACTGTACGGCTCAAAGACCATGCAGCAGAGGGGAAATTCCCTGCAGGACTGTAAACAGAAACTCCAGTGCAGAGGGCTGGGCAGGGGGAGGTGTGGAAGGGATTCTGCTGGGAGCAAAGCTGGGTCTAGCATTCATTAACATCTGCATGAATGATCTGGCAGAAACAATAAACAGCACACTGATGCAGTCCCCGGTGAGGTGGGGAGGGAGCCAGGGCCAGATTCTCAGCTCTGCTGCAGCAGCACAAAGAGACCATAAAGTTGGTTGAACCAGGTGCGACGCCAGCACCCCTCCCGCTGACGAAGGTGGGGGAGCAGCCCCTGTGCCCACACCACGGCTGCCCACGACGCCACCCGAG